AGGCGTAGCCTCCATAGGCGGGCTGGGCTGAGGCTGACGGTGGCCGACTCCTGATCGAAGGTGGGACCTGTGAATTTCTGGGACGCTCGAGGGGGCTCGATCCCCATGCAAAGCAAGTGGTCGCTCAAGATTTCGTTCTCGACGCGCCTGGCCCCGTCCATGACAGCGGCGTGGCAGCTCCCGAGCACGGCGACCCCGTCCACGTAGGTCGCGGCGGCCGCGTCGCGAGACACGTCGCGGATGACCCTGCCGTCGGCGACCTGCCTGTCCATGTCAAAACCGACCTGCGGCACGTGGCTCTCCACAAGCGACTGGCAGAATCACAAACTCCAGTTCCACCCCATCGGCAGCGCCAGCAGGCGAGGCGCCAAGACCTTGCCCTCTAACCCCGAGAGCTCGATGTCGGGCCTCGCCGTGAGTAAGTCCTGGCGGCGGATGGGGGAGGATCATCATCTCCTCCAAGCCTGGTGGGCACTGGATGCGATAGAAGGCCGCCTCAATGTCCGCCTGGGCGAGGTGCAACTTCTCGGATGGGTGGGCACGAAGGCTGCGCCAGCATCCCGCACTGGGCAGGCTGACGGTGTCAGGCTCGCGAAACTCCTGATTGACCAAGCAGGTGTCCAGAATCTTTCGTAAGCGACTCCCATTATCGGGAACAAAGAACAAGCCCAGGGTATGCTTCTTGCGGTTGCCAAAGCGAATCATGCCTGCATCCCAAAGGCTGCCCAGCAACTTTCCATACAAAACACGATCACGACGAAGCTGCTGATCAAAGTAAGGTCGTATGAGCTCACGAGGTTCATCAGGGCCGCGCAAGAGGTGATTTGGCCAGTGATGCCACAACTCATGGGGCCGTCCAGTCAGGGAGTCCAGGGCATTGCTCTTGGCCCGATCCGTCGGGAGCGACACCAGACCTTCGGCATACATCACTGACTTCACAGGCGCGATGTCGTAGCCTGGAGAAATACTGCACAGCTCCCGAAGGGCCGCCGCAGGGGTGCAAGTAGGAGGCCCAATCCCATGAATTCGAGATTGAAGGTGATCGAGCCCAACGAGGTGGGCCTGCGAGAGGGCGCCGAAGCCGCCAGCACCGCCTTGACCGTAGAGCCAGTTGAGCGCAGCGGTGGCCCCCTGCGCCCAGAGGTCGCAGAAAAAGCGCCGACGCCCCCTCGACCGACGATGCCGCGTCGAAGGGGCGGACCATGAAGAGGCCCGGGTAGAAAGTAAATGTACGGGCGCAGGGAGCATCCCACGCGGAACCGGCAACCCACGGCGGCTCGCCCGCGATCCCGCGGGTGGAGCCAAAGGGGGCGCACCCCCAGTCGTCACTGTCCGCCTCCCGATCCTTGGCCACGGCCCGTCCTTTGGATCCCTGGGCGGGGCTTGGGCCAGTCGTAGTCTGCTCCTTCAGCTTCTTGTTCTCGGCCGTCAGGCGGTCGATCCTGCTCTGCGCCCCAGCGGTGAGCCCTGCGCGGCCGCCGCCAGCAGGCCCATCCCGCACGCGATTGGACTGTCGTTCCTCTCGAAGCTTCCGTCGTTCTTTTAAAATCGTGGCCTCGCGGTGCAGCTCTTCCGAGATGTGTGAGGTCAGCGACGGGGCGATCATGAGCATTCCTCGAGTCTCAGATGTACCAAGATAAAGATACTCATCCTCATCGACGTCTCCTCCCAAGGCAGCGCCAGATCGAGACCCAAGATACGATCCTTCAGCCTGTACTCAGCGAGCTGAGCGCGTCGAAGCACCAGCTCGAACGCCGCCAGCTCGGATATGTTCAACTGGTCATACTGCACCGCCAGTTGGACCACCCTCATGCAGAACTCATGCTCTGCCACCGTGGGGTCCGCTGACGTGAGATTCACCTCTGACCGCCACTTCGCGTGACGAGACCGAGGCGCGATGTCTTGCTCGCTGATGAACTTGGAGCACCACAGAGTCGTTCTCGGCCCCTGCAGGGGCCACTTTGCCCACTCGGTGACAGTCATCTGGCGGGTGGCGTCACGAAGCGGAAGGTGCCGACCTCCATCTGCGTCCTCCACCACAGCTAGAACACGGGCGTCAAGATCCGCATCCCCGCCACTGGAGGTCTTCACGATGAAGGTCTGCTCGCCCTTCGTGCACATATCAAGGCCCGAGCACACCACTCCGTAGTCAACGCCGAGGTCGCGCAACACAGCACGGCCAGCTCCGTCAGGCGAACCTACCTGGTCCCACTTGTCGGGCGCGGGGTCGGGGAGGGCATCCGTGATCTCCACCCACTCACTCGGAATCAGAGAACCCAAAGGCTGTACGCGGCCCCCCTGTCTCCGACACTGATCGCGTATCTTCTCGCCGTAGTCCTCGCCCGTCACGAAGGGCGTCCAAGAACTGCCTCGCGTCGAACTGCCACTGGCGCCCGTAGATCTGAAGATTCCCCCGAGGCAGTCGAGCGCCCATGCCGAGGGCGCGGTTGGGCTGGCCCGTCGCGTCGCAAGGAACCATCCCCGCCACCGCGGGGGGGAGCAGGCAGTGCGAGTAGATATCCCCGTCTGGAGTGATAGCGTACCAGATCAGGACTCTCTGAACGGCGTCCTCGGGGGCCTCCTCGCCTGCGTACTCCTCGTACTCCCCAGTCGTCAGTGGAGCCACCAGAACTCGTGCTTGCCAAGGCTCGTTGGCGCGCCACTGGACGAGGATGCGCTGGCCGCTCTTCAGCAGGGGACTCCCGTCCGCCCCTGCGGCACCCGCGGCTGCAGCCATGGATGCCGTAGCCGACGAACACGCCCAGCCAGAACGTCAGCGCGAAGGCGAATCGAAGAGAGCCCGCGAACTGCGCGGCCACCAGGCACGCACTCGCCTGCGACGAGACCGAGCCCAGGTCTGGCAGCAGGAGGGAAGCGCCCGCACCCAGCCCGCGGGCGAAAGCAAAGGACATGGGCCGCCCTGAATTGATGCACTTGAGAACGGCATGGGCCCAGACGGCCACGGCGAGACAGGCTGACCAACGAGATGAGAGAACACATCGGACAATATAAACATAGAGAGAGGGATAGGGAGAAAGAGAGAGAGAGAGAGACGCCCAAAGTTGGTGATTCCTCCACGCTCCGCCCACACTCAACACAAAAACGAAATCACCCAAGTAGGGCGGGCCAGCCGGGGAGTCGCCCGCTGAAGCCGACGGTAAAAGACAGGGTGAGAGAGAACAGAAAGAGATCGAGAGATAATCCCTAATCCGGTGATTTCCCAGAGCGCCAGACAGAGGAATCGAAACACAGAGAGAGAGAGAGAGAGGGAGAGAGATAGAGAGAGAGAGAGACGGATATAAAGAGAGAAGGATAGAGAGATAGAGAGAAACAAACAAAAGAGGGAGAGAAAGAGAGAGAGAGAGAGTGACGGAGAGAGAGAGAGAGAGAGAGAGAGAGAGAACAACAAAAAAAGCGAGAGAGAGAAAGAGAGGGACGCCCCAATTTGGCGATTTCCCCACGCTCCGCCCACGCACTAAAAAGAGACGAAATCACCGAACCAGGGCGGGCCGGCCTGGAAATCACCCGCTGAAGCCGATGGTAATAGACAGTGTGAGAGAGAGAGAGAGAGAGAAAAAAAAAAAAGAAGAGAGAGCGAGGGGGAAAATAATACGTGGAGAGAGAAAGACACAAATAGAGAGAGGGAGAGAGTGATGGGAGGAGGGAGGACACGGAAGAGTAGGGAGGATACAGAGGGAGGAGAGTGGCCCAATCGTGGACCTCGACCCCGAAGCCCGAAGGCCCCAAACTGCGGCGGGGTGGTGGATCCACTCGGGCGCCCCGGGGCCGAGGAGGAGGGGACGGAGAAGGGAGGAGAGGGGGAGAGGGAGGGAGCGAGAAAGAGGAGAAGAAAAACACCGAACCTCACTCCAGGCCCCTCCCCCTCCTCCCCCTTCTCCTCCTAGAACTCCAAGCCTATAACTTTCCATCTCGCACCCCCCCCCCCTCCCCCAGAAGACGACGAGGTACAGTGGTAAGCACCAGAGCTGAAGCCAACGAGTTCGGCCAACGGTCGCCAGGTGTTCGCCTGACGTGCGCGGCCCTTGTTCCCCAGACGGGCCACCCTGTTCCGCTGACGGGCCTCGCGTTCTGCTGACGAGCCCGTGTGCCGACTGCGGAGTTCTTCCCACAAGACAGGATCTACGCTGAGCAAAAAGACCTATGAACGCATGCCAGCAATTTCATGTCAGCGTTGCTGAACGGCCTTGTCGCATAAGGATGGCGAAAAAGTTGCGAGCAGCCAGGCGAGTCCCGAGGGTTTGCGAATTTCGGGAGGGCGACAATCAAGCTTCGCTCCATGTCTGCAAGGCGAAAATGTGTGTGTGTGTGGATATCGTCTGTGAACAAAGTAAGATGATCATCGTGTGGTTTACAAGGCGTTGTCATGTTTACACAAAGCGTACCATCGGACCCAAGCATACTGTGAGAACGGTTGCGGAATATCTGAGATCAGAAACCAATGACGGCCTGCCACTCGAGCTCAGGGAGCCTTCAAGAAACGGGCTAACCAGTTCCAGGGGGCCCGGGTTCACCGAGGGGAGCTTGGAGTCATCGGGCTCGTGGTCACGGACGGCACCAGCAGAGGCCTCAGGGGAGCATCGGGGAGACACACTCTCGTCATGAACCGCGGTCTTGGCGACGGCAAAGGCGGACAGCCAGATCACGCTTAAGGTCTCCGTGTTCATCACCGAATCGGATATCATCTTCTTCATCGTTGGATCTCTCAATGTAAAGGGCTGGGACGTGCTAGCAAAACCCATCTACATGAACACAATCCGAGAGATCAGCATTGAAATGAATGCTGAGCCGGGGATGGCCTTCTACAGTGCATCCTGGGTGGTGTTTTGACGGTCCCGGGGCCCGGCGAAAACCACGAAAAATAGAAAATCGCCAAAAACCTTCCGCCCTGATTTTCACGACGCGAGGAGGTCTGGGGGGACAGCCCTGCACCGCAAGGCGGCGCGGAGCGCTTCCCCGCGGGAGGGCAGGAGAGCCCCGGCCTGCCAGTGCACTGCAGCAGCGCCGCCTGGCCGCTCTGGCAGCCCGCCTCGAGGCACATGCCGAGCGCCGCCTCGCTGGCAGCTTCTTCCTCTATATATATATATATATATATATATATATATAAATCACGCTTTACATAGAGAGATGGAGATAGAGATAGATCCACCGATTTAGTAGACATGCCAGAATCACGCGCGCGCGATACGTGCGCGTTCAGGTCCTGGCCGACTGCGCAGTCGCTGTCAGTGGAACCCCAAGATGCCAATGGAAAGGTTCTCCAGGCAAGGGCAGCAACCGTCCCTCCTTATGATATCGCGACCCCCCCCCCTTCTCGACGCCATATCCCGCACACACACACACACACACACACACACACACACACGCACGCACGAGGACGGAGAAACAAGTTGACACCCACACGCAAGCACGCGCGCACCCTAGCCTTTAGGAGCAGCTGCCTGGATGAGGAATCCGTCGACCCCTTTGGGGTCACCAAGAGTCTCAAACTCTTCCTCCGCCTAATTCCCTTGGACAGGATCCGGAACTTCCTATGTGAGGGGGGTGGTCCGAGCAAGCACACGCACACAAACGCACACACACACTCACACGCACACACACACACACACGCAGAGGCACGCGCGCACATGCGCAAGCGCACAATAACCATATCATGCAACTACGGGCCATTGGATCGTTGCCGCCGCCCCCCCCGTCCCCTCGATGCAACCCATATGCACACACACGCACACACACACACGCACACACGCACACACACACACACACGCACCAGCACGCACGCACGCACGCACGCACGCACGCACGCACGCACGCACGCACGCACGCACGCACGCACGCACGCACGCACGCACGCACACACACACACACACACACACACACACACACACACACACACACACACACACACACACACACACACACACACACACACACACGCACACACACTCGCACACGAGTGCGCACGCACACGCCCCTGACGTGGACCGTGGGGTAGGGGCATCTTGGACGCCTCTCGGGGCCCCGTGACGCGATTCCTCTGCAAGGCCTCTTGAAGGCCTCTCGGCGCCACTTTCAGCCCGCTCGGAAGCTTTTCGAGGCGCTTTGGCATTGTCCGTGGGGGCCTCCGAGACTGTCTTGGGACCATGCTTGGAGCCACTGGGGCTCTCCTGGGGCAGTCTTGGGCCGTCCTGGGCGCCTCCTGGCCTGGCTTAGGGGCCCTCTTGGGCCCTCTTGGCGCCCTCTTGGTGGGCTCTTGGGCCGATCGTGGGGGCTTTTGGGGCTGGCCTGGGCGCTGTGAAGACCCTCCAAAAAACAAGCGCGAACGTGCTGGAACTGCACTGTAGGGCATTGGACGATCTGGGCGTCGGGAGGCCGTCTCGAGAGGTCTCTTTTGAGCCTCTTGTGGCTCCCAGGGCTCCTCTGGGGCTGTCGCAATGTCATCTGGGGCTGCCTTGGAGCTCTCGTGGGGCGCTTCTGGGGCCTCGAGGGCCAGTCGCAGGCTACCTCGGGTGGTCGTGGAAGACTCTCGAGCTTACTGGGACCTCCGGAGGTCGCCAGGTCGCCCGGGGAGGCCCCCGGGGAGAAGGGGGACCGAAGGGCCGGCCCCGGGCCCCAGGGCCGGGATCCCCCTTCCCAGACCCCCGACGTCGTGATTTTTTCATCACGTCGACCCCCCTATGTCTCGACCTGTTCCCCAGGACCGGATTTCCATCTCGAGTCGTTTTGTGACGGTCCCGAGGCCCAGCAAGGGCCCCAAGGGGGCGAAAATAGCGAAACACCTCCCGTCATGATTGTTTCATTGCTCGAGGGGTCTGGGTTATGTGAATACTATACAAACATACGTACATATATGCGCCCACTGTCCAACGGGGAACGGGGGGGCATTCGACAGAGGGGGGCCCCACTGTCAAACGGGGAACTGGGTGGCCTTAAGGGCCCATTTGACAGTGGCGCCCACTGTCAACTGGAGACCTGCTGGGGGCCATTTGACAATGGCGCCCACGGTCACACGGAGAACTGGGGGGCCTTTGACATGTGGGGCCCACTATCACACGGGAAACTCGGGATCCCCACCCCCCTGGAGGCACCCTCCTCATTCTTACCTGCTCTTGCCTGCCTGTTCTCCTACATGCCTCTGGGACGTCTCAGATCCGCCCCAATGAAGGAGCCCCAGGACACACAAATACATACACACAAATAACAGATTTCCCAATATTTTCCCATATTTTCTAGGTTTTTGTCTTCCCCCCCACTTCCCATATTTTCCCATATTTTCCTGGGGATCGACGATTGATTGTGTCTGTGTGTTTTTCCTCTCCTGACAGATCCGCCCCAAGGCGGCTCCGAGTGGCCACGGACCGTCCGAAGACGTTCCCTAACGGGCCGCCCAACAGGGCCCAAGAGGCTCCCAAGAGGGTCCTACGAAGAGCTCCGGAGCGTTGGCGTCCTCGTCGTCGCCGTCGCCGCCGGCATCGTCGTGCCCAATAGGGCCTTCGCAATTTATAAGTGTGTAAGGGCATTATCGTATACATCTTTCCAGGGGAATTAAGCTCGGGGGCGATCAGTTAAAGCCGGAGGGTCCCGTCCGGGATGTTTCCGGCCGTCTCGCTTGAGACATGCTCAGATGTCAGAAACCAGACGCACCCCTCATGCAGATCGTCACTTCGGGGTGCACAAGCACAAGTGTCTTTCAGCATTGTGAGCTGAAACCTTCCACATTCCAATGGGTTTCGATGCTTTTGCACACGGTTCTTGGGAACTCGCTGTCTCGCGTGACATACCCCCCCAACATTGCAACCCGACGCACTGAAAATTGTCTTAGGTTTTTCCGCATGACCGTCTTGCTAGAGACATCCTGCCAAGGTTGACTTCAGAGCTTACGTTCAACTGCAATCGCACAGTGTGATACCCCCTCCTGCGCCACACTCATCGAACAGGTGCGACAATCCCACCTCCCAGCAGCCATCACGACGCTAGAGTTCTGGGCCGCCCTCCCCCCTGTTCCCATCCTTTTTGCCCCGTGTTCTCTCTGCGTATGGATTCCCCTCCTCTCTCGTCCGCTGCGCTCCGCTCCCTCTATCCATCCGCACTTCCCTCGCGCTGTCCGAACCAGGAGCGCGTACCTGACCCAGGGGGTCTCGGGTCGGGCGAAAGGGGGGGATAGCAAAGGGGGGGGGGTGAGAATCAGCTCACGTATAGCTGACTTTCCCGGGCGCCTCCCAGCGCCGGAGGCGGCCATGTATCGAGGAATGGGCCCCGATCGGTGGGGCCGAAACCAGCTGCATGCAGCAAATTTCGTAATCTAAAACAGGGCTAGGATCGGGATAAATCGCTCCAGAGCGTTCCGGAGCGCTCTCAGAGCGTTCGGAACGCTCTGGAGCGGCCGCGGCGCCCAATACATCCTCCAAACCCGCCGATTCTCAGAGATTTCGAGTCATCCCGATCCGATGTTGTCCCGATCTTCGCGTCGTTTCACCCGCCCTTTCCCAATCCCCCCCTTTCGTCCGGCCCGAGGGTCGCGCCGAAAGCACGGCGGGCAGTCTGGCCAGGCGTGATGCCCCTCGGCTCGTGTCGGCCCGCCGGCCAGCTGGCGCCACCGCGCGGTCGGCCAGGCGGGCCCAGCTCGGGCGTGCGGTGGTGCCCCGCGGCCCCCCCTTCGGGGGCCGAGGGGGGCGCGAGCGTGGGCGCGCCAGAGACGGCTCGAGGCGCGCCCCGCGCGCTGCGGAGGCCCCCTTTGGTCGGGCGTTGGCAGAACTGGGTTTAGTGGAACCTGGTGTAGTGATTTGTACCGGGGGCGCCCCCCCGCCCCAGTTCCACTAACCGGAACTGCCGTCACCCAGAAAACACCAGTGACGGCAAGCCTGGCTCAGTGAATCTGCCCAATTGAGGGGCCCCAGGGCCCTACCACTAACCGGGTCCCCTTACCATGGGTCCTGGCTATACCCGAGCTGGGCCACCCTGCAAGGCTTAGGTCGGGCATGTCCGCCTACAGGCGGACTTTGGAAGAAAACTATCAAGCATATGCAAACATAGCCAAAAAGTGCTCGAAAAATCGTACCCCGACTATTTTGCCACTATCCTCAAACATCCTCCTGTAGAGGGACGTGCCCGACTTAGTACAAGGCGCAGCGAGGGTCGGTCCGAGGTTGGCCAAGGGGAGTCCCAAATCAGTCTGCGCCCACGCCCAACTGCGGCACCAGCTGGGCCGGCGAGCAGACGCGCCCAACACCACGGGGGGGAGTTGTAAAGACGTGCAGCCGGCCCGTATCATAAGGATGCGCGATAAGGATGCAAGTTGGACGCCCACTTCGAAGGTCTCCGAGGAGGCAAGGATGCAAGGGAACCCTTGGGGCACGGCCAGCGAGAGTGGCGAAGGATGGGCCGAGAAGGCATGGATGCAAGGGCACCCCTGGGAAGGTTGCCCATTCTTGCTGTGCGGGTTGACTGCAGCGCGCGCTGACAAATTGAGGCAACTCGGGGCACTCGGGAACATGTTGGGAGCAATGAGGGTGTCAGAGGGAGGAGGGGGAGGAGGAGGAGGAGGAGGAGGAGGAGGAGGAGGAGGAGGAGGAGGAGGAGGAGGAGGAGGAGGCGGTCATCCCCTGACAGCCGTGAGAGAGAGAGAGAGAGACAGAGATCACGAGCGGCGCTCCAGACCCCGTCCTTCTGCGCCATGTCTCGAGCTGGACCGATACGCGTGATGCTCCCGGGGTCTGGCACTCGTTGAACACGCCCGGTGCGAACAAGAAAAGGGTGCAACGCCACGACCTCTGGGTATGCTGATGAACGTCTTCTGATTCAGCCTTCCGACACTGGTCGTCGCTCCGGACCTCTGCTTGCAGACTGGTGCGGCTGTTTGCACCAGCCGCGCCCTGTGCGGGAGACTCTGCCGGCCCCCAGAGCAGGCGCCAAGAGCAGCCAAGATCTGCTCCACGGGGTGGGGCGGAAGAGGCCCTGACTCCAGATCCGCCCTAATTTGGGGAAATTCGTAAGTGGGGCTTGGAATTTCCGCCTTACTTTTCAAGCCCCGCTGATGCCAAT